AAACCCCGGAAAAAGTGAAACCTCTTTATACAGGAAAGACTGGGGCTACAACTTAAATTGCCACCAAAACCATCTAAAGGGGAAAAAAAAAATACCCAAAAAATCCAGGGGCCCTGGGAAAAAACCCGGGGTAGCCACAGCCACTCAAGAGGGAGAGGGTTTTTTAGGCCAGGGGGAAAAAAAAATGGCGGAAATGGCAAAAATTGGGAAAACCAAATCCAGTCCCTTCCCCGGAGTTTTGGGAAACCCCAGTCGAAGGCGTTCCACTCCAAACCAACAGATACAGATACTAATTTCCGGAAAAAAAATCCCCCCCCAGTTTCCAACAATACCCCCCCATTTCCCATGACATTCTTCTTTTCAAATTCCCGGGTCCCCAAAACCCCGCAACCCAAAAAAACAAAATAAAACCCTTTCCAAAACCCTGGAATGCTTGCAAGGGAAAGGCCCAAAGTTCGCGGCTTTCACTGAACCCCCATAAAGGATCACTTAGACAAAAAAATTTGGGTCCCAGTTACAACCTAAACAGATGGGGACAAAAAGTGAACAGGGAAAAGGGGGGGGGGTTTGGCCCCGAACATTGGGGAGTCCCCTTGGTTTTCACAGAAATGCTTTTAAAGCCCCAAATGATGTAGGGAAGTTTTAGCATAAAGGGAGAAACCAAAAAACCCAGTCAAATTTTGGGGGAGTCTACAAGCCCCGGATTTCAACCCCCAGCAATTCCAAAGGAAAACTGTTTAAAAAATTGGGCCACTTCTGGAAAATCTTTCCCGCTCCTTTTTCCCCCCAAAAACTTGCTCCTGGGGGATTTCCCAAATTAAGGCACCTAAAATGGAGGAATATAGCAAATAACTTTTTTGCCCGTAATAACACCAGGGCGCTCTGAGAAAAAATTTCCCCCTCCCCACGAGAAATTTTAAAAACTCTGCAAAAAAATTCAATTTTAACCCCCCCAAAAAATAGAACCTACTAAAATGGAAAAATACACTAGACCCCATCTTCACTAAAAATTAAAGATCTGAAAAAGAAAAGTCACCATATCAAAAACAATTTTACTTTAGAACACAACATAATTGAAGGGTTCCCGGGCATGTATCCCCAAACCCCAGAAACCCACAAAAAGAGATTAGTCACGAGGGAGGGATTCACCAAATTCAACTTTAATAACAAAAAAAATAAAATGGACCCCAAAATAAAAAACCCAAAAATCCAAAACCCATATAAGCTGGGAAGAAATTCTAAGCAAAACAGACCCCCAACTTTTGCCCAGAAAAGAATTAACTTTTTGGGGGCACTCGATTTTATGCCAAGACAAAATTTCCCCTAAGAAAAAGGAGTAAAGGGAAAATAGAAAGAGACAGGCCTCTCTCTAAAAAAGGCGACGGAAAAGAATAACAGAGAGCACTAAAAGTTCAATCTAAACTGAAAAAGCGTAGGGGGGACAATGGGCAGAGAAATAGCAAAAAATCGAATTTTAAACAAAAGGAATTTTTTATAGGGGTTTTGGAATCACGGGGAAAAACTAAAAGCCATAAATGAAAAACAAAGAAACCCAAAGATTTCTTCTCCCCATCCAAAACAAAGTCCCCAGAACAACATCCAGTATTTGGGCCCCCTTTCTTTAAAAAAGATGGGTCCTACACAGATGACAGCAAGGGAAAAGAGTGAGGGTACTTAAATCCCAATATTTACTCAGTTTTTAGCAAGCCACCCAACCAAAACTGAAGTAGAAGATCAAAAAAGAATTTTTTGAGAGGACCAAAAGAATTTGGTTAACACAAGCCTACTGATGTATCCCGATGCCAAATGACTTCGAACAGGGGGATAAATGACATGCCCCATGCACTCTGCCCCAGGGCCGACTCATGGGGAAACCCCTGTTTCAAAGAAAGCAAGAACCCCTATCACGAGCCCCCTTTCCATCCTATGGGGAGGACATGGGGCACGGGGGTTTTCCCACAGTTACTAAAAAAAAACGACATACCCCACTCCACAAAGGGGGGATAAAAACAACGCAAAGGAAAATACAGAACCGATAGGGACTAACATCACATATCATAAAAAACTTTTAAAAAAGTCCAAAAAAGCAAACACCACCCATCTAGAAACCCTCAGTTACACAACCCCGGGCAACATGGGTTTAAAAACAGGTCGCTCCTTTGTCCCCAAATATTGGATCACTACGACAAGGGGTCTAAATGCACTAAAGACAAAAAAAAATGCAGATGTAAAAACAGACTTTGCAAAAAGCCCTTTGACAAGTGGACCATGGCTAATACGGGACAAAAAGCGTGGGTTTAAAAGGAAAAAACAGGGAAAAATCGGTTCCCATGCCCATAATTTCCCTCACTAACAGAACACAGAGTAGTAGTATCCAGAGTTTAAAATCCGAGGCAGGCACTGAAAAACTCTGTTTTTCCCCAAGGGAAAAGTACTCGCTCCCTTGGTCCCCCATCCTCAATCTGACATAGAAAAAGGATGGGCACCACTACACCATGGGCTTCCTTTTTCAAAAGACAAACCCAATTTTGCATGACAGTGTCTTCCATTTGGGAGACACGCATGGCCTTTCCCGGCCGGGCATCAAAACCCAAAACTTTCAGTGGGGGGGCCCCGAAAACCCAAAATGAAGTTCAACGAAGAGAAAATTTTAATTTCTCAATATGGTAAACCGAGGAAATTAAATCCCTTTATCAGAGACAAAACAAAATTTTGGCCACAAAATAAAGCGAAACCCAACGTTTAAACACCTTGGGGGGTGATCATGTCGGAGTTTTCAACCCTTCAAGGAAACCCTAAAAATTGTTATCGATCGCATCGCTAGAAAAAAGACAGGATGGATAAAAGAGGGAATTTCAAAATGAGGGGCCAAAAACCCATGAAGAAAACACTCTTCAGGTCACTTGTTCTATCTAGGCTGGAATATTGCTGCACACTAACAGCACCTTTCAAGGCAGGTGAAATTGCTGACCTAGAAAATGTACAGAGAACCTTCACGGCGCGCATAACGGAGATAAAACACCTCAATTACTGGGAGCGCTTGAGGTTCCTGAACCTGTATTCCCTGGAACGCAGGCGGGAGAGATACATGATTATATACACCTGGAAAATCCTAGAGGGACTAGTACCGAACTTGCACACGAAAATCACTTGCTATGAAAGCAAAAGACTTGGCAGACGATGAAACATCCCCCCAATGAAAAGCAGGGGTGTCACTAGCACGTTAAGAGACCATACAATAAGTGTCAGGGGCCCGAGACTGTTCAACTGCCTCCCAGCATACATAAGGGGGAATACCAACAGACCCCTGGCAGTCTTCAAGCTGGCACTGGACAAGCACCTAAAGTCGGTTCCTGATCAGCCGGGCTGTGGCTCGTACGTTGGTTTGCGTGCAGCCAGCAGTAACAGCCTGGTTGATCAGGCTCTGATCCACCAGGAGGCCTGGTCACAGACCGGGCCGCGGGGGCGTTGACTCCCAGAACTCTTTCCAGGTAAACTCCAGGTATGAAAATTGGTGGAGTATGCTGTTGGGAGTGGGAATTTGTTATCATTCTGACTGCTGCCTTTTGCTGGGTTATTAGAGGTCTTAGGTGATTTAATGTTGTTGATCCCCATGCACAAATTCCATATGTGAGATAAGGGTATATTAGTGAATGATACAGTGCCAGGAGAGCTGACTGTGGAATGCAGTACCGTATCTTTGATAGTATGCCTACAGTCTTAGAGATTTTCTTGGTGAGTTGTTGTAAATATGTCTGGAACTTAAGGCTACTGTCAAGGTGCATACCTAGGAATTTTCCCTCTGTATGTCTTGTGACTGGTGATCCATTTAGCGTTATGTTAAGTGGAACATTTGCAGCTTTGTTTCCAAACTGAATGAAATGGGTTTTATCAGTATTCAGGGTAAGTTTATTAGTCATCATCCAGGCAGATATTTTCTGCAATTCGGCATTGACAGTGTTGGCGAGTATGACTGTGTTAGGGTGGGAGAAGACATATGTAGTGTCATCTGCATATAATATGGGTTTGAGTAGCTGTGATGCATTCGGTAGATCATTGATGCAGATGAGAAAAGAGGAGTGGTCCAAGGACGCTTCCTTGTGGGACTCCTACTGTGATTGGTTGGGTAGAAGAGTTTGCACCATTTGCATACACATATTGACTTCTGCAACTAAGGTATGACTAGGTAGTTGAGGGAGTGGCCTCTGATACCATAGTGCATTAATTTGGAGTACAGCAGTTCATGGTCGACTGTATCAAAAACTTTACGTAAATCAATGAAAATTCCCAGCGGGATTTCTTTCTTTTCAAGTGCGGTATATATAAGTTCTAGCATGTGTATGATAGCATCATTTGTGCTTTTATTATTCCTGAATCCAAACTGACAAGGGTTTAATATGTTGTGTGAGACGAGTTAGGAGTAGATCCGTCTATGAATTAATTTTTCAAAGATTTTAGAGAGCAGTGGTAAGTTAGATATTGGTCTATAGTTATTCAAGTCAGCTTGGTCACCTCCTTTATGGATCGGAGTGACCCAAGCTATTTTGAGGATTGTTGGGAAGGTAGATGATTTAATGGATTTGTTAAAGAGGGTTGCAATAATTGGTGACAATACTTGAGAAGCTTTTTTTTGTACATAAAAGCAGGCAAGTTGTTTATGTCTCCTGCCTTGTTTTTAAGGGTGTTTATGATTAGCGTAACTTCTATTGGGTTGGTTGGAGCTAGGAATAGCGTATTTGGGTAGGTACCTATGAGGTAGTCTGATGGACGGGTGTTTGTGCTTGGTATTTTGTTCCTAGATATTTTCCCATGGTGGAGAAGAAAACATTGAGTCTGTTTGCTGTTTCAGTCGGTGTGAATTAAACCTACATGCACAAAATCATAATATAGGAGTAACAGCGATACTAATATCTATGACTCACCAGGAGCCATTATGAATATCCTGAATGAAATAGAAACTAATATTAAATTCCTCTGCAACAACAATTAAATCACTAAACTTCTTTCTTTTCTGTGTTGGGTTTATCAGGGCCACTGACAACACAAGCCGTATCGAACCCGGCTTCTCCATGGTACGAGAAAAAATTTTTTTGCTTAAAGCTGGGCGATGAGAGAAAAGGAACAAAAGTTTCTTTGTAAATAGAGATAGAAACTTGAAGTTGCCAATTAGATCGGGTGGACCACCTTGCCAAGCCCTCCGGGGTTAAAAATCCGAACGAAATCTTATCTTATCTTATCTTATCTCCCACCTGAGTTCAGTAACCGGCTTCCCACCAAAGACCGTTAAAGAATTTTCCGCAGAACGGAAAAAAAATGGATCTGGCTAAAGTAAGCCGATGAACCGGTGCCCCCGCGGCCCGGTCTGTGACCAGGCCTCCTGGTGGATCAGAGCCTGATCAACCAGGCTGTTACTGCTGGCTGCACGCAAACCAACGTACGAGCTACAGCCCGGCTGATCAGGAACCGACTTTAGGTGCTTGTCCAGTGCCAGCTTGAAGACTGCCAGGGGTCTGTTGGTAATCCCCCTTATGTGTGCTGGGAGGCAGTTGAACAGTCTCGGGCCCCTGACACTTATTATATGGTCTCTTAACGTGCTAGCGACACCCCTGCTTTTCATTGGGGGGATGTTGCATCGTCTGCCAAGTCTTTTGCTTTCGTAGAGAATGATTTTCGTGTGCAAGTTCGGTACTAGTCTCTCTAGGATTTTCCAGGTGTATATAATCATGTATCTCTCCCTCCTGCGTTCCAGGGAATACAGGTTTAGGAACCTCAAGCGCTCCCAGTAATTGAGGTGTTTTATCTCTATTATGCGCGCCGTGAAGGTTCTCTGTACATTTTCTAGGTCAGCAATTTCACCTGCCTTGAAAGGTGCTGTTAGTGTGCAGCATTATTCCAGCCTAGATAGAACAAGTGACCCGGTGGCCTGGTGGTTAAAGCTCCCGCTTCACACACGGAGGGCCCGGGTTCGATTCCCGGCGGGTGGAAACATTTCGACACGTTTCCTTACATCTGTTGTCCTGTTCACCTAGCAGCAAATAGGTACCTGGGTGTTAGTCGACTGGTGTGGGTCGCATCCTGGGGGACAAGATTAAGGACCCCAATGGAAATAAGTTAGACAGTCCTCGATGACGCACTGACTTTCTTGGGTTATCCTGGGTGGCTAACCCTCCGGGGTTAAAAATCCGAACGAAATCTTATCTTATCTTATCTTATCTTGACCTGAAGAGTGTCATCATGGGCTTGGCCTCCCTAGTTTTGAAGGTTCTCATTATCCATCCTGTCATTTTTCTAGCAGATGCGATTGATACAATGTTATGGTCCTTGAAGGCGAGATCCTCCGACATGATCACTCCCAGGTCTTTGACGTTGGTGTTTCGCTCTATTTTGTGGCCAGAATTTGTTTTGTACTCTGATGAAGATTTAATTTCCTCGCGTTTACCCTATCTGAGTAATTGAAATTTCTCATCGTTGAACTTCATATTGTTTTCTGCAGCCCACTGAAAGATTTGGTTGATGTCCGCCTGGAACCTTGCAGTGTCTGCAATGGAAGACACTGTCATGCAGATTCGGGTGTCATCTGCAAAGGAAAACACGGTGCTGTGGCTGACATCCTTGTCTATGTCAGATATGAGGATGAGGAACAAGATGGGAGCGAGTACTGTGCCTTGTGGAACAGAGCTTTTCACCGTAGCTGCCTCGGACTTGACTCTGTTGACTACTACTCTGTGTGTTCTGTTAGTGAGGAAATTATAGATCCATCGACCGACTTTTCCTGTTATTCCTTTAGCACGCATTTTGTGCGCTATTACGCCATGGTCACACTTGTCGAAGGCTTTTGCAAAGTCTGTATATATTACATCTGCATTCTTTTTGTCTTCTAGTGCATCTAGGACCTTGTAGTGATCCAATAGTTGAGACAGACAGGAGCGACCTGTTCTAAACCCATGTTGCCCTGGGTTGTGTAACTGATGGGTTTCTAGATGGGTGGTGATCTTGCTTCTTAGGACCCTTTCAAAGATTTTTATGATATGGGATGTTAGTGCTATCGGTCTGTAGTTCTTTGCTGTTGCTTTACTACCCCCTTTGTGGAGTGGGGCTATGTCTGTTGTTTTTAGTAACTGTGGGACGACCCCCGTGTCCATGCTCCCTCTCCATGGGATGGTAAAGGCTCGTGATAGGGGCTTCTTGCAGTTCTTGATGAACACGGAGTTCCATGAGTCTGGCCCTGGGGCAGAGTGCATGGGCATGTCATTTATCGCCTGTTCGAAGTCATTTGGCGTCAGGATAACATCGGATAGGCTTGTGTTAACCAAGTTCTATGGCTCTCTCATAAAAAATTCATTTTGATCTTCGACTCTCAGTCTGGTTAATGGCTTGCTAAAAACTGAGTCATATTGAGACTTGAGTAGCTCACTCATTTCCTTGCTGTCATCTGTAGGACCCATCTTGTTTAAGTAGGGGCCCAATACTGGACGTTGTTCTCGACTTTGATTTGGCATAGGAGAAGAAATACTTTGGGTTTCTTTCGATTTCATTTATGGCTTTTAGTTCTTCCCGTGATTCCTGACTCCTGTAAGTACTGTTAGAAAGTAGGTGGGTGAAGTACTGTTAGAAAGTAGGTGGGTGAAGTACTGTTAGAAAGTAGGTGGGTGAAGTACTGTTAGAAAGTAGGTGGGTGAAGTACTGTTAGAAAGTAGGTGGGTGAAGTACTGTAAGAAAGTAGGTGGGTAAGTAAGTTTATTTAGGTACATATACACATAAGTACAATTATCACAAACAGTAACATATGTGTAAATTACTTAGGATAATAACACAAAAAGTCAAAGTGACTTATTTCCACTGGGATCCTTGTAATATCTTGATGAAAGAGGAAATGTTAGAAGGTGGAAATGTCACTCAGTCTGCTTTTTTGGATTATCCTAAGTAATATACACATAGTATTTAGAATATTTCTAATCTTACTTACTTAGTTATCCAAGGTTAGTTAGTTAAATATGTTTATTATGCACTCCATACCCAAGGATGGTTTAAAACTGTAGGTAATTGGAAATAAATCACTCTGTCTGACTTTTTTGGGTTATCCCAGGTTCTCTACACATATGTTGCTATGTATGATAATCTATGTAACTGTATTTGTGTATACCTGAATAAACTTACTTACTTACTTACTTTACTTATGATTATTATTATTATTATAATCAAGGGGGAAGCGCTAAACCCGGAGGATTATACAGCGCCTGAGGGGGGGGGGGATGTGGAAGGCATTCAGGCTTAATTCGGGGAACTGGAGCACAGATCCAATTCCCTAAATCAAGAGCCCCTCACCAACATCAAGGAACCTTCCTTGAGGGGAAACTTGACTTATGAGACGCCTGGTGAGAGTCATGTCAGTAAGAGTCAGGTCGTCTGCTCCTACGTGGACGTAAACATTGTAACAACTCGTACATTCTTCATACATTAAAAACGCTCTTTTAGCTTTCTAAGTCACACTCAACACCGTCTTAACGGACTTAAGAGGTTGTGAGTGACGTGTTACTCATTAAAAGTGAAGAAGAAAGATGGACTACTTGCGGTCAGTGACACAAAGTGTGTTAGGAAGCCCCCAGCCTGGTCACCAACCCACAGGGGCTGAGACTGTAAGTAATTAACCCTAAACGAAGTTCCTTGATATTGATGATGGGACCTTGATCTAAAACCTCTCAAGGAAGGTTCCTTGATATAATGGGCCCTTGATCTACCTTTCAAGGGAGGTTCCTTGATATGATAATGGGCCCTTGATCTAAAACCTCAAGGGAGGTTCCCTGATATGATAATGGGCCCTTGATCTACCTTTCAAGGGAGGTTCCTTGATATGATAATGGGTCCTTGATCTAAAACCTCTCAAGGGAGGTTCCTTGATATGATAATGGGTCCTTGATCTAAAACCTCTCAAGGGAGGTACCCTGATATGATAATGGGCCCTTGATCTACCTTTCAAGGGAGGCTCCTTGATATGATACTGGGCCCTTGATCTAAAGCCTCTCAAGGGAGGTTCCTTGATATGATAATGGGCCCTTGATCTAAAACCTCTCAAGGAAGGATCCTTGATATGATAATGGGCCCTTGATCTACCTTTCAAGGGAGGTTCCTTGATATGATAATGGGCCCTTGATCTAAAACCTCTCAAGGGAGGTTCCTTGATATTAATGATGGGCCCTTGATCTAAAACCTCTCAAGGGAGGTTCCTTGATATGATAATGGGCCCTTGATCTAAAACCTCTCAAGGGAGGTTCCTTGATATGATAATGGGCCCTTGATCTAAAACCTCAAGGGAGGTTCCTTGATATGATAATGGGCCCTTGATCTAAAACCTCTCAAGGGAGGTTCCTTGATATGAAAATGGGCCCTTGATCTAAAACCTCTCAAGGGAGGTTCCTTGATATGATAATGGGCCCTTGATCTAAAACCTCTCAAGGGAAGTTCCTTGATATTGATGATGGGCCCTTGATCTAAAACCTCTCAAGGGAGGTTCCATGATATGATAATGGGCCCTTGATCTAAAACCTCTCAAGGGAGGTTCCTTGATATTAATGATGGGCCCTTGATCAAAAACCTCTCAAGGGAGGTTCCGTGATGCTGGTGAGGGGCTCTTGGTCTAAAGAATTGGACCTCTTCCTTGAATCGAACCTGATTGTCTCCCATTCCCCCAACCTTTGTGTTATCCTTAAAGTTTAGTGCTCTCCCCTTAAATACAATAATTAAGTCATTAATACTTTTAAGCGAATATCCGTGATCTCGCCAGTGTTCTTAAGTCAGCGATGAATCGGGAGAAATCTTGGCATTTTCCATTGGGTAAAGAGAGTCTCCCTAGTACATATATCATGTATCAGTGACTAGTTTTAAGAGTTTTCTTACTCTCACAACCCTGTCTTAAAGCAGAAATGTCTGGTGCATGCTTGCTCAACCACAGAATAATTCAAACTGAGAGTTGATACCAGTAGTAATTCATTTTAAATCATCCTACTTCCACAGTACCTGAGAACACATGTAATTACAGTACTTAAAGTTCACCTAGCAAGCAAGTAGGTACCTGGGTGTTAGTAGACTGGTGTATGTTGCACCCTGGGAAACAAAATTGAGGACTCAATGGAACTAAGACAGACAGTTCCTTGATGATGCACTGCCTTTCTTGGGTTATCCTGGGTGGCTAACCCTCTGGGGTTAAAAATCTGAACAAAATCTTATCTTACCATACTTAAACTATTATCAAAGCCATTATTAGGTCTAAGAGGGTTAACACCAGCCTGAGGAGAATGTAGGCATCTATACTATCACTTGTATTAGCTATAATAATGTATACATGGGGAGATGGCTGGGACTTTGCACATATGTATATGAATACAAAAATGTTTGCTGCACCAAAATCAACATTTATTATGGATATATTTTGCCTTGTAGGAGCATTGTCAATGACCATGCTCCCAGTAAGTGAAACATTTCAATAGTAAATGTCATAGTGCTACACCTGTGCCTTATATACATACTTAATGGCATTTGATAATTTTTTGTCAACTGAAAAGGTAAATGTAATACATATACAATTAATTTTTTTCTTCAGGTAGAACGGCTTATAGACAGAGTTCAGTCATCTACATTACTAGAGGATCGTCGTGATGGTTGCAGAGCTCTCAAGGCCATGTCTCGCAAATATAGAGTTTTGGTTGGAGCACACGGGATGGATACACTTACACAAGTTAGTGTCTCTCTGCTTATGCTTGCAACCATTTTTTATAGCTTTTGTATCTTAGACCTTTGCAGTAATTTTTGTAATCTCTTACTGTACTCAGTGTTTTCTGTTGAATTGTGTAAGCATTTTAATATGAAGAGGGATTCATATGTACAATGTAGTTCACTGAAGTCCTCTTCAGTAGTCTTTGGTGCTGTGTAACAAAATATGCAGTACTCATCTTTATCTTTTGTTTTAAGTTCTCTTTTGGTTCATTTGTGCCATTGACCAGTGTTCCTTACAGTTTTATAAATTTTCATATGTTTACTAATACTTTGCCTTTTAAGTCATCTTTCTGATCTATGTAGGTCATACCACTAGCTTCAATTTTTTATGTAAAAAAAAAAGACATAAGGTGCCATTTTAGGAATTTTTATTGAAGACAAAGTATATGTAGACAGAAGGCAGAGTCAGATGTGGAAATGAGATGCAGCAACAGGAGAATAATTTGTTTTGATGGCTGGCCAAGAAAATACGCTTTGTCTTCTTTATTGATTCTGTCCATTTCATCAAGTAGTTATGCACATTACAGTGTGCAACGCAAGCATTATTCCAGTTGTTCATGAATCATATGTTCATTTATGCACATTGACAGATTTTTGGTAGTTCCTCTAATATATTTTAATCACCCTCCACAAAGAATTTCATATTTCCAGCACTTTCTTCTTAACCCTTTCAGGGTCCTCAGACCCTCTCCGAGACTTGTTCTCAGGGTCGCCCAAATTTAAAAAAATTTTTTTTATTTTTTCTTATGAAAAGACAGAGAATCTTTTCCTGATCATAATGACACCGAAAGTATGAAATTTGATGGAAAACTTACGGAATTATGCTCGCAAAGTTAACGGTCTCGACGATATTTACGCATCGGCGATTTTGTCCACTTTGAGCTCTATTTTCGGCCAATTCCAGTGTACTAGTTGACAAAAATCATAACTATTTTGCTAGAACTCCATTTTTTCTATCGAATGAGTACTACAAGAAACCACCCATTTACCGATTTCAACTATCCAGTAAAGTGGTCAGAATTTAGCAATTTTGCCAATTTCACACAAACTTCAAAAGATGCCAATTTCCGAATAGGGTCCAGAATAAACAAGAAAGACATTCCTGGCACTAAAATAACAAGTTCTCTGTTCGTTAAGTCACATCCCAAGGCCTCTCTTATATTTCTTAGGCTTTCCACTCTGAATTTTTATTCTTACAAAAAATAGAAGATTTACTGTTATGCAGACTACTGCATTAGTGTAGAAATGGTATAAATAATATCAGCGCACTTGTGAAAGAATATTAGACTCACCAGTTGACGTGTATTGGACGCTTGGTATGATTTGTTTACTTTTGAACTTTGGTAAAAATCGAACATTTCTGCTACTTTGAGCTCAATTTCAAAGTACTTTTCATTATAAAACCAGTCAAAATCATCTCAATTTCTGTAATATGTCTTCCATTCTATAAAATGAGACCAGGAAGACTATAATACAACCATAAATACCATACGAAAATGCAGTAGAAAGTCGCTGTTTTAATCCAAAAACACTGTCAAAGTTTTTTTTTTCTCATTACGCACTGTGTGCTGCAGGATTTTTTTTTATACTGTGCTCACTGACCACATAGACCCATTCTTTCATATGTAGGCCTACCAGCTTTCTCTCACTAGATTGAGGCGCAAATTTACATAGTAGTATTTTGAACAGAATCCAACTTGTCATTGAGATTCTGGTAGTTTCTTTTCTTTTCACCAATTCTGTATTCAGTGAATCCCGATAATGACCGAAGGAGTAGCTGTCATTTCTATTTTCTGCCTGGTAGCAACATCATTTCATTGTCTGGCTCTTCAAAATTGTGTTTCCTCTTCCTTGTACCGCTGTGTTCAGCCCGGGTAACTGTAGTCTGTCACCAGGAGTTTAGCTTCTCTTCAACAAATCAAAAGTTCTCATTGCGGAAGTGAGGCTTACAAATTCCACTAAGGCCTGCATAGAGGTTACGCACAATAGGCCAATTCAATTTCATTTTCATGATGTGTCTTGTTCGTGGCATTTAACCATTCCAGTAGTACAGTCCCAAAGCACACAGCGTTAAGGCCAATTCAAAATCTTCAATTTTGTGCATAATGCGGCTTGCTTCGCTTCTTGTGTAGATGCTGTCTGGTCTTCATCCTCTGCTATTTGGATCCAAGAGCAGAACGTATTTCAGCAAAGCTGTATTTCTAAGCATGTGTTGCTCATGCTGCGCTGCCTCCTTGTTGTTGATAATGATTTGTTGACATCTCCATCGAATGGTAGTTGACTTGAGGTATACTCCACCGATGAGTTGAAGCAAGTGAAAAAATTTAAGAAGTGCTTGTAAAGTCAAAAAAATGAAAACTGCAGCGACACAACACTCTGCAAGCACTTGACCCATAACGATTAAGAGAATGTGCTGAGGCAGGGCTCTTTTTCAGATACGTGGGTTGATTTGCTTGGATACGGCTTGCAATTCCATTTATTATTTAGCCCAACATGTTACTTGCATTTTCATAGGCTTGGCACGGAATCCATAAAGAGAGATCCATGTTCAAGCAGTAGTATCTGTTAACTACAAATTCATATTGTTTCTCCTTAGGTCCATTAGCCTGAAAGAGGATATGAATATTTTATAAGCGCTCTACAGGCTTCACCACTGGAGTCGACAAAGCGATACAATGAATGTCAATTGACATGTATGTGGAAATATTGGTGTAGAATCTACACTTATTGCCAAAGTATTTTGCAGTATTCACAGCTGCTATGATGTGTTGAGGACCTTTAGTCTTTCAGGTTCTATAAATTACATTGCATAACGTAGATGACATTTAAGTCAGGCCTCTTCCTGAATTCCCAAGGCGGTGACACATGATGTGCTAAGAATGGATCGAATTGTGCTAACAATTCTATGGAATCCCTAGGGAAAATTGCCATTGGTTTTCCAAACAAAAACCTCATTTTCTCCACCATGGAAAGGCAAGTCTCTTGAGATAAGAATTTACGAACAGCAACAAATCTTTTCTAGAACTATTTCTCCAATAAGTGCGATCTTTTTCTGTGTGATTTTTCCAAATGAGCATCCAAATAAGCCTTTTGCTCGTGCACGATAATACAATGGCTCAAAATGCCAGCTCCTGTGAGTGGTGCTGTTTTCATGTTCTCGAATACACTTGGACATTTTTTCCAGTCATTGAACCCCTGTGTGAAGGTATTTTCTTTGGAGAAAATAGCTTGCATGCTGCGGAAACAGTACACTTTTCTGAGCTTTCATGAGTTGTACCATCCATGATCTCTTTTCACAGGCTTCTGAATTTGCAAGCTTCCTATAAAACATAGATGACTAAAGTCAATGTTCAGAGTTTGACTGAAGTTTTCTGCAAAGAATGCTTTTCGTAGAGAAATCTGGGATTACATTTTGGCCATGAGGCGGGTCTTTTAAGACCTAATCCTGTGGATGAAAATGTCCAGTTGAGACTTTGGGAGGAGGACTACAATAGAAGTAGATGCTGCTGTGAAATAAGGAGGCGAGGCTTCCTGTATGAACTGACGTATCTGCAGATTAATGTAATGGTATCTTCAGAAATGTTTTCGTGAACATGTCTGTGATCTTTCTGCAGCTTCCTACAATCTTAGCTTTTTTCGTTTCTTCTTGAATTTTTTCTTTCTTTTCTGTAACCCATCTCGCTTATAGAAACAAGTCCAACACATGTTCACGTCGAGATGCCATAAAGAAGGATGTATCACTGTCTGTAATCATGAAAATGTGCAAGTTTGTCATTATCAAATTATTATTAATTTTTTAAATTTGTATTAATTTTTTTTTCTGTCAATTGGGGGTTATGGCCCTTTGTAGCCCCTTTCTTGGCTGCACGCATCTAAAATTCAAAACGTTACAGATAGGAGTCATATTACAGAACTATTTACCATAGATTAGGTTGGTGATTTGGGCTACGAATATTTTACTAATTCATCCTCCTTGATCTCCAATTTAATTAAACAGAAATCATTTACTGAGTCAAGACAATTGCACAACGGTATTATGTTACCATTTTCATAACTAAACTAATCATTATGTTGTGGAATGAGATTGGCCCCTTCCACCATTGATATGGGACAGAGAATAAAGAATGCAGGGACAATTTTTCGGTTCACCCAACAAACGTTTTTCTATGTGGTTATGTGTTTCGGGGAATGTTGTAAAATTAATTGATGTTCTACATCACATCCGCTCGCAACTTGAAACTAAGCATTTGCGACGGAAGTGAGTTGTAGACATCAATCAATTGAGTTCTGTTATTGAAATGATAAAGACTTAAAAGACAGGTACAAAGTGCTTTTAAAACGTAAAAAAGGAAGTCAGTTTGCGTTTTTAGGTGTTTCTTTATAGTATTTTTACCAAAAAATGGCGTATTTACTGGTCCATGCGTCTTTATGGTCAAGTAACCTCATCAACAACCAGTTATTTGTCCCGAGTTACAAGTCTAGATAACGTGTAATTACTATCAGAAAATTGGCTGGGAATCTCCCATCACTTCACCCATTAACGGGAAGAAACACAAGTCTAGTTCTGATGTAAACAAAGGCGTGTTGAGTGTTACCATCTGTGGTTAGGTTTATTTATTTTGATTTTTATTTTATTTCATTATTTATTTTTGTTTTGATTAATTTTTAAAAATCAATTTTACTCTCCAAACACTTGAACTTTTTAGGTAGGGACCCCTTTGCACTTGGCACCATGTGCGCAGTCTTGGATGAGCCCCTGAACCCCTTGGGACCGCGGGTGGTGCCCCAAATGCGGAGGGGCCCTAGGCAAATGACTAGTTTGCCTATGCGGTTAATCCGGACCCCTGTTAGTACCAACATTCTTATATGGGTGTGAAGCTTGGGTGGTAAATGCAGCAGTGAGGAGACGGTTGGAGGCAGTGGAGATGTCCTGTTTAAGGGCAATGTGTGGTGTAAATATTA